CCTGTACCATGATATCGCACAGCAAGGTGGGTTGGGAAGGTGGAAACTGTGAGAGGCTCAGCACTTCTGTGTTACATACTGTAAAACTAGAAAATGAGAGGCTATTCATCTCTTACTTTTGCACTGGAGTTGAAAACACTCTCTTAAGCTTATGTATGCACATCCTTCTCTCAAAATTACAGGGATTCTTAACTGTGGAGGTTTTCTGGACACAAATCTTTTCTTGTAGGAGAATACACAAGGAAAAGTTTATTTGGGCATACTTAGTATTACTGGTGTTGTCTTTACTTTTTCTAACTTACAAAGATTAGTTGGCAGCTTCACTTTTTTTTTTATCCAGAATGACAAATGTCTTCCATTAATGTAAGGTACAGTAAAGGCTATTGTAAAAATATGATATGCTATCAGTTTTGACCCAGAAGTAACCTAGTAAAATGCTGTCCAGAACATGATAGGAAGCAATCTAGTCTGATACTTCAGGATGTTATTCTGCAAGAAAAAAAATTTCCAAGAATGGATGATTTCTTAAAAAGTGAAAAATGAGTGCAAAACATTGTATTATATAACTTGGGACTCTGCTCTTTAAGAAAGAGGCTGTTGGGTTTTGAGCTCTGCACTCAAGCTGATGCTTGAGAGGAACTGGAGGATCAGAGACAAGTTTTCCTGTTATCTCCAGCTTTTTGAAAGCTTAATTTAACTTCACCATTTCAGATGCCTTGGATTTTTTTCCCATGTTTTACAGAGGCAGAGCTTCAACTCATGCCATTCACAGAGTTTATTTGCACATAAAATAAAAACTAGAATCGCTCCTTAAATTACAATGTTCTAGAAGTATCCCCTTTATTCCTTGAGCTTCATTATGTAGAAGCATCTTAATTTTTTTTTGAGGTCAAGATGGTAGTGCTTTGCACTGATCCTGATTCGTTATGCGTGCCCTTAGATTATGTCGTGTTCGATATGTCTGTGGACTGCAAATGAAGATTCTTTAAATGCATCACTGTACATATTTGGCCCCCATTTAGGACTACAACCAAATCACCACCAGTTAACAGTCTTGTTTCTATTCTCCATTTGTGCAGCTTTCAAGTTCTGCCTGCAGTACACGCGCAAAGCGGAGTTCCGTAAACTCTGTGATAACCTGCGAATGCATCTGGGGCAGATCCAGCGTCATCATAACCAAAGCACAGCAATCAACCTCAACAATCCTGACAGCCAGTCAATGCACCTGGAGACCAGGCTCGTGCAGCTTGACAGTGCTATTAGCATGGAGCTGTGGCAGGTATGCAGCTTCCTGTAGTCACGCTGTAGTCTGCTGCCTTCCCACGTGTGTACTGAATGCTTTATCTGATGTCCCTGGAATTGCTGTTTTTGTGTAGCATTTCAAACCAAGCTTCTGCTGGCAGTAGTTACTGGTGAAATGGTTGTAGTCCCTTAGAGTTTTGAAAGTAAGAAGTAGGCTGACATCTTCCTCTCTTATGTGTTGCGTTCTCCTGAGCTACATCAATGGGAAGTGATTGGTAAATGTTAAACCTTGTAGTTAGGCTGGGGCCACAAAACTTCCTGTCTGAAGTCTGTTAGTATCTGGCCAGTGAGGGCATTTTCAAAGCAAGTCGTTCAGAGAGGTGCTTTGCTTTTGGGATCTTAGTAATGTTAAATTTCTTAAAGAGATGGAGGTGTTGTATGTCTGAATTTGGAGTATGCTCTTTTATGCTGATTCCTCTTAGGTATGGAAGTAACTATATATAAGGTATTTGCAGGAGTATGTTTGCACATATGTATCTTTATACAGATTTCTTAATTTTAGGAAAGCTTTACCTGTTGTAATCAACAAGCATGATTCATATGAAAAAAGGTAAAAAGAGTAAATGATCCAATTGATAGAATGGTAAAAATAGGAGCACTGTTCGGTTTCTTTTCCTTGGTTTGTAGATTAAAAATTGGAATAAATAAATAAATAACTCAAATTAAATGACCTTTAATTACCAGATGCTTGCATATAGAGGTGGTGGATGTGCAGGATGTCCAAATAATTTCTTTATTAAGAAAGATTTAATTACATCTAAGTGTCAAAACTGGAGATCACAGATTTCAGTGGGATGAATTATAGCCTTATAGCCATCAGTGATGGTTTATTTCTTCCCTTGCTTGGGTGGAGTTGGGAAAGAAAACTTCTAAAAGTAGCGTAATTATTTTTTCAGGAAGCTTTCAAAGCAGTGGAGGATATTCATGGGCTTTTTGCGCTGTCTAAGAAACCACCCAAACCACAGCTGATGGCAAATTACTATCACAAAGTTTCGACTGTCTTCTGGAAATCAGGAAATGCTCTTTTTCACGCATCTACACTTCACCGACTTTATCACTTATCGAGAGAAATGCGAAAGAATCTGACGCAAGAGGAGATGCAGAGGTGGGGAGAGATATTTAATGTGATCTTACATTCCATTTCTGAACTTCAGATGGTCAAAAATAAACTAAATTATATCCCAAAAGAAGGAGATGGCAAGCATGGCTGTGAGCAGCTTTGCTTAAAGTGGCCAGCACTGACTGTTGCTCCAAAAGAGAAAGAGATTTTGTAAAAAGAGAGAGGATTTTGTACAGAGCTACAGTAAAGTAAGTTATGTGAATGTCAGGTCACCTTATTTAAGCTTCCTTCTTTGTTACTGACTGGGAATCTAAATAAATTAAGAAGTATCTGGTTTTTGCTTTCATTTTTGGTTCTGAGTGGTGATAATTAACTTCACAAGATTTCCTTACTGCCAGCATGAACTTTTCCTTTGTATATGCAAGTGTGAGTAGCCAAATGTCACCGAATTGACTAGATCAGTCTATGCCTGTGACAGGGGGGCAGTAGGCCTCTGCACTCCCCCCCCCACCAGAGTCCCACAAAATGAGAAGGAAGGAAGGGAGGAGAAGAGCACCAGCAACAATCTATGGAATAAAACTTATTTTACTATGATATTAGAATACAAGATAACACAATATAATACAATTTAATTGAAATTGAGACTTATCAGACAAGATGAGAGAGAGAGTTCCTGGGACCGAGTCAAACCTGAAAAGCTTGGAACAGCCAGGAAAGCACCTCCAGCACCCACTGCAAGGCAGCAAGAGAGCTCCTCCCCCCCGCCCCAGAAGGGCCAGATCCCGTGACTTCTGTCATGTACAGGGATAGGTACCTGGGATTGGGGCATTAACACTTTAATACCCCATACACTACGTGATGTTTTGATGTGGAATACTGAAAGCCGAAAAAACAAAAACATAAAACCATGACACCAAACAACCATTAATTCTCTGCTGATAATATGATATCTGGCTTGGGTTTTGAGGCATGCAGAATCATTGGCTGTATGAAACTCTGAAGCTCGTTTACAGGCCTATATAGATGGTGGGAATAAATACTGTATGAGATTTTTATATTCCTGCTTATCTGGGTACTGAGGTCAAATTTAAATGTTTGGTGTTACTTGCATTTAACATCAAAAGGTATATAGGTATATTTAGCAATAAATGTTAAAATCCGTGACAATCAGAATTACTTGTATGGATTCAGAGTAAAATAAGATTGAAAATATGCTGCTTTCTGCTATTTTCATTATTGTGATATTTACAGAGATGATTTGTTTGTTCTCTGTGTGTGTGTGTGTGTGTGTGTGTGTGTATACCCACATGTACACATAATGAAAACGTGTTATCAGAATCTTTCCTCTGATTACCGAAGAGCAGTGCATGCTGTATCCTTACTGCACAGCTGTTGTCTTTCCTGTTATTACTGGTATTTTTTATAGTTTGACAATAGGAATGCTGCTCATCCCTATTTGTGGATTGGCATGTATGTGAAAATGAAATAAATAGTGTTCTCTGTCAGCTCATCCCTCGTGGTCATGCTTTGTCAACAGGATGTCTACTCGAGTCCTTTTGGCCACGCTCTCAATTCCTATTACTCCTGAGAGAACTGATATCGCTCGCCTCCTGGATATGGATGGCATCATTGTGGAAAAACAGCGACGTCTGGCAACTCTGTTGGGTCTGCAGGCCCCTCCTACCCGTGGTAGTCTAATTAATGACATGGTACGTCATCGTGCTTGTATGAGGAGCTCTTAAATTCTCAAGTCCTCTTCTTGATCAGTTTTCATCCCAGAAGTGCTGCACTTAGCTAAGGGATGACAGTTACAAAATGAGAACAGCTTTATGATTAGTAGTATTACTGATATCATACTGCTAACATTTCAGGTTCACAAGAGGGGCTGTTTTCAGTTTGGATGTGAGCGTACATCCTTGTAGTGGGACTGTAGGTCTTTGTGTCTTAGAAATGATGAATATGTTGAGGATAGCACTGCAGTCTAGATACTTATCTTGTTGGTATGGTTTTTGTCTACTTTTTCATCTTTCAGTATGATTAATTGATGTTATGTGCAGTTACTGTCACTGTAACTAAGAGTGTTTTATTTTAAGAAGAATCAAACTGTATTAAAAGGTACGTGTGATACCTATTTAGCTTTGGGAGTGTAAAATGCTTAAAGCATTACTATTTGTTAATATTGTATTTATTTTAAGATATTTTGGTTATTGTTTGTTGTAGGTGAGGTTCAACGTAGTGCAGTATGTTGTTCCAGAAGTGAAAGAACTCTACAATTGGCTTGAAGTTGACTTCCACCCACTCAAGTTATGTAGCCGTGTCAGCAAGGTGGGTTTTGTATTTTCATCCAGATAGTGGAAAAAATTCATTCACATCTGCAGGGTGCTCTGCAAAGATGCACTTTCTGAAATGCTTTGGGAGGTCTTGTGGATGGAAATGATGCTAAGCTTTTGTTTAAAAAACAAACTTTAACTTAACTTTGTTTAAAAATGAAGGAGTGAGAAAAGGTGTGCCTGCAAGTGGACTATGGGAAGGGGAAAAACATACCGTGATCTGTTCTTACTGTTTAAATGTAATGTACTGGGACGTAGAATTGTGTGAGATCCCTTTGACTGTGTTAGTGTAAATTCTGCAATGAAAGAAGCACATCACATTCTTTTTCTCTAGTAGTGGGAACAAAGATATTTGAAGTGCTAAAAAGAACTTGAAGGTAAATTAGCAGTGTGGTTAATGTTGCCAGTACTGTCAGTCACCTTCATACAAAAAGTGTTAGTAATCTTCTGGTGTTCTGACCAGAAGATTGACTTCGGTAAAACAGAGTATCTGAACAGAAGTGCTATTCTTTCCTGAGCTGTAAGCCAAAAGTATTTCAGGGTCATACTTAGTACTTTAATGTTGAGGTTTTAAGGGTTGATGCAGATAAAGTAACTTTTCAGAATTTTGATAGGTACTGAACTGGGTGAAAGACCAAGCTGAGAAGGAACCGGAGCTGCAGCTGTATGTTCCTCACCTGCAAAACAATACCATTCTTCGCCTTTTGCAGCAGGTATGAATAAGGAAAATGTGTGTTTGTAAGTAGATGCAATGCTTTGGAAGAGCATCAGTCTGGAAACTATGCTGAAGTAATTTTTTTCTATTAACTAGAAGGCCATTATGATTTTGGAATACTTTTTCCAGTGTATGACCCATACCTGCAAGTTTGTACATCATTTAGGTACAGCCAACTTAACTGTACTTAATGGTGGTTGAATACAGTGGTGCAATTTTTTGCCTGGATTTTCTTTGTGTGGAGTCTATGAAGTTTTATTTCAGGTAATTCACTGTGTCTTAAAATCTTATGGAATAACATTTGGGTGTTGGCTTTTTTTCATAAACGTTTTGTAAAACGCACATTTCATTGACCTGCTTTCATTGCAAGTGATGAGCAGCGTTATTTCTGATGTGCTAAAGAAATATGTGAAGGCTAATTAGCAGCTTAGCTGTACGTAGTTACTGCTGCCAGTCTCCTTCATACAAAGAAGCCATTTAGTAATGACATTTATTCTTAGCTTACATTTGGATTCAGTACAGAAATAAAATCCTGAAGGAATATTTACAATTGTATTAATACCCATACCTGAATTTATTGATGATTTAATAGGTTACCAGCTTTTATTTCTGTCTCTGTTTAATGAGGAAAAATACCTCATGTTTGTTTTCATGTGAAGGTGGCCCAGATCTATCAAAGCATTGAATTTTCTCGCCTGGCTACCCTGGTTCCTTTTGTTGATGCTTTCCAGCTGGAACGGAGCATTGTGGATGCAGCCAGACATTGTGACTTACAAGTAAGTGCTGTCAAAAGACACTGAAATGATGTATGAATTTGTGGGTATTACACTGGATGAAAAGGAGGTGGTGGGCATCGAACACAAGGAAGGTAGTTGGTTCTGTTAGATGGAGGTAAACTGGAATGAAAATGGAAGTGGCGACATGAAAAGCTGACAGTTGCTCTTGAAGATTGCCCTGCTGGTCAGGTTGTCTGTATCGAATGAATGACAACCTGTAGTTGAATGTTTTAAATTGGTGAAGAGATGCCAGTAGTTTTTTGTTCAGATTGTCCGTTTGGGTTTTATCTTAAGCTAATTCATTCCATATAACATCACTTCTGCAGACAGACGAATTGAACCTATCTTGTTTCAAGAGATTCTTATTTCCTGTTTCACCAAAGTGGAGAAAGAGAATCTTTGAAAGTTCAGCATCTTACGGTGACTGTTTTTAAATAGAACATGGAAATAAAGCAAGATTCTATCCAGTGCTCTTTTTCTTTTTAATTCTTACTTAGAGCTCTTGTTGACTTGCATTGGCCATGAGTGCAGCAGCACAGAAATCATTGAAGAGCAATTAATAGTACAATCTCCCCCCTCTTTTTTTCTTCCTTTTTTTTTTGCAAAGGTTCGCCTTGACCACACAACCCGAACACTGAGTTTTGGCTCAGATTTGAACTATAGTACTAGAGAAGATGCTCCTCTGGGCCCTCAGCTACAAAGCATGCCTTCTGAGCAAATCAGAAATCAGTTGACTGCTATGTCCTCGGCTCTGGCCAAAGCTCTTGCAGTCATTAAGCCCCCTCACTTACTGGTAAGTCATTGTACATTTTCTGAAAATGCTGACAAATCCTAACGTTTCTCCTAAACGTTGTGTTTTGTATGGTTTAATGGTTGCACTTACACAGCCCCGTGTTAGTTCTTGCTTGTCTGATAAGCTGCTCTTTCCAATGAACTGCTTTCAGTACCATGCTGCCAGTGCTGTTGTCCCTTTTCCTCAGAAACAATGTGTTGAGGTGCTAATATACACAAATGAATGGTAACATTAAGGCTGTTAAGGACATCTGTTAAGGACAGAGTATCCTTCTGTTGCGTACTGACCTGTTCTAATAGCTCTACAGCTTTTGGTTTGGCAAAATGAGCTCGTTTGAATTTGTGACCTGGTACTTGAATATCACACCAACAAGTCGCCGATGGCTGATCTGATGGTTAATGTGGCACTGCAAAGATCCCAGGGGACAGGGCTGGTGCTGTGGGCTAGTATTGTGTATTCTGGTGTATCTTCAGATGTGTGTTGCTCCATTTTTCAAAGTGTTGCAATGCCCTCTGATACAGCTTGTCAGTTATAATGACCTCTTTATATTCCTGCACTTTAAGTAGAAACTAAAGCTAAGAACTTGATATTTTTTAGCAGTTTATATTTTAATTAATGTGTTCTGAAGTTAGATGTCTTTTCCTTTTTTTTTCTTCCAGACTTGTTTTTCTTACTCAAGTATATTTGTGCTTGTGAAGAAGAACAAATCATTCCTAAATGCACCCAGCTTGTCAGTGTTTGATCATAACAAAAATAATGTCAAGATGTACACCAAATGGAAAGCATTTTAAATGGCTGATTATATCAAGTTTAGAATATGCCATATAATAATTTAGCCATAGATGAATCCACAGAGCTAAGACTTGTTTGAAATTTTGCATGCATTTTTGAAAATGCAAGAGCCTGCTTTCTTTATTCTTTCTGGCAAAAGTGGAACCTGTAATGTGACTTGTAGTGGAATCTAAAGGCACGAACAAAAGATCCCACAACTGAAGAACTGACTTGTCTCTCACTGGCAATCGCTCTCATATGACTCCAAGGTCAGCCAACCTGATGAGCTCGCATTTCAGGTTCTCCAGAGCCCTGTAGGAGCAAGGTGTAAATCACGCTGTGGGATTTCCTGCATGCTTTGGTTGTGGCAAGTTTAGAACTTCACTTCTTCAAAAAAAGTGGTAAATTTAAGTGTGCTGTGTGCTTAAGAAAGAAAGATTTTTGTAGCCAATATGTTGAACTTTTCCATTTTGAGAAAAAGACTGAGGGCAAGATGTTCCTACTAAATGCTTTGTCCAAATTGGAAATAAGAAGTTATGTTCCTAAAATAACTGCACAAAGTAGGGCTGTATCATGACACTTAATACTAGCTTACTTGTGTTAGCTTGAACATATAGTAGCTATTTAATAGTGCTTATTTCCATGTAAGTTTTCCCATAGGAAAGGATTTATTCAGATAAGTTGTTGGTTTAGAGGAAAAAAAAAAAAGCTTTATTTGTACATTTACAGATGGAAATGACAGGTAGTCATGACGTCAGTTTAATTATCTGAATAAGACATAAATACTAGTAATTATGCTTGTAAAATTTGAGTACATGATCAGGTTTAATACTGACCTCTGGGGTTAGGGAAGCTGTGGAACAAAGGGGTATCACTTTTTCTTTGCTATTCACATAAAAAACCTCTCACTCTTTAAAGTGTTTAGAAAGATACAATTTATTTTCAACTTTATTACAAAACCTCAAGTTTTTCGTTGTTGACTTTCTGGCACCCTCACCTGTTTTTAAGTGCAACAAAATATGGATGTTCCAATGTTTTTGTTTAATGCTCTGAAAGTGGCAGATTGCTAAAAATACCTCAGAGCTCTCTCACATTTCATGAGCAGCATGACTGAGTGCTTGCTGTGAGTCATTAGGCTGCAGTCCTTGGCTGCTTCCTGCAGTGATTAAAATGGGCAGCTCCCTCAGCTGGCACAGCCATACTTCACATGTAGAGTGAGCATCTCTACAAAGAGCCATATAAATACTCTGGAGGAGAGTTTGTGGGATGGCCAGGAGGATGCTTAAGGAGCAGTGTACATGCAATTGAGTGCTTCTTATAATTTAGTCAAAAGGACTTGATTCGGATTTTTTTTTCCTCATAAGACAGTACTTTGTGTCAATTCTGATACTTCTGTTTTACATTTGAATGTTTAAAAAAAACCCTCAACATTAAAAACAAGGGAGCTTTGTTGAAATACAATACATGTATTGCTGTCCTTGCTAATGTGTAGAGAGGAACAATATTGCTTCCCTAAATAACTCTTAGATATAGACTCCTAATTATCACTGACATCTGTGTGCAGTATTTTTGGACAAATTATGAAAATACCATACCTAAAATAGATGTGCTGCAAAATACTGTTTATATAAGCAACTTTTAGCTCCATTTGCACGTGGTTCTGTTGAATTGACTCTGCCTTGTATGCCACGTGGATAGCGTGATTGCTGTCTTTACTGCGAGAGTGGTGAGGTGCTGGAACAGCTGCCCAGAGGTTGTGGATGCCCCGTCCATCCCTGGAGGTGTTCAAGGCCAGGTTGGATGGGGCCCTGGGCAGCCTGGTCTGGTATTACATGTGGAGGTTGGTGGCCCTGCATGTGGCAGGGGGGTTGGAGATTCATGATCCTTGAGGTCCCTTCCAACCCGGGCCGTTATGCGTAATTAGATTTAGCATTATGGTTGTATTTCCATCCAACTGGCAAATTAGGGAAATAAAACTAGTTCTGAGATTTCATTGAGAAGCAACTGCTACGTTTTCTGCCTTTTTGAAGAGATGCTACATACATCATTGTCTTATTCTTAATTTACATCCAGCAAGAGAAGGAAGAACAGCATCAGCTAGCAGTCACTGCCTTCTTAAAGAATTCAAGGAAGGAACATCAGCGTATTCTTGCACGCCGTCAAACTATAGAAGAGAGAAAAGAGCGCCTTGAAAGTCTGAACATTCAGCGTGAAAAAGAGGAACTGGAGCAGCGTGAAGCAGAGCTCCAGAAAGTCCGTAAAGCTGAGGAAGAGAGGCTGCGCCAGGAGGCAAAGGAAAGAGAAAAGGAACGTATCCTGCAGGAGCATGAACAGATCAAGAAGAAGACTGTTCGTGAGCGCCTGGAGCAGATTAAGA